TGGGAAAACGTTTAATCACTTCGTTGTTTGAGTACTGCTAGATTGTGTTACACAAACAAAAAACAAATCAATCTTGAATACCTACTGTTTCATTACTAATGCGCCAAAAGAGTCATAGTAAAATCGGAAGAAAGTTCACACTCATCATTACCTGATTGGCTAATTACTTAACCAATGAAAATTACCGAATCATTCATACATCTAACGGTAACTTGCCTCGTCTTCCCGATGTGTTTTTCGAACCTAGTCTCGGTGTTCTAATGGTTGAGGCGTTGTTATTTGTGTTTACCGTAGAGGAGTTAGACGTCAATGAAGAGATGTTCAAGGAAATTGTGGAGGTAAAACGCTGAGCTAAACCTTTTGTCGCCACGGTAGCAGTACTTCCTGTCGACGATTCTGTTGACATGTCAGTACTAACAACTGCAGGACCAGTCTCTTCCAACCTCCCAGGTGCTCTCTCACCAGCAGCCTCCATGCTTCGTTTCAAAGGGGCGTAGTTGTAGCGCGGAGGTTCCGAGAATCGTCGAACAGCACTGTTTACCCCATTCACGGAACGCATGAGAGCAAGTAGGTGATTGCGAGCCTTAAAAAAGGCATTCCTGTGTTAATGGTACCATCAGACTTTGGCTTAAATGTCACTGCGGTAACCAAGAACTAAGCAAAATATCCGTTCTGGCGTCTCGACTTGCGCTGCAAAATAAGAAAGCGTCGAATAAAAAGGAAGTGAATGAAAGTTGTTATAGAGACATTACTACACTCCGTTGAAGATGAATGTGATAAGGCTGGGTGCTTGCGATGGTTCATCATCTACTAGTACACTCGATGTAGCTAGTTTTCCAGTCCCCCTTAATCTTGACAAACAGATTATCGCATTAAAAAGCATGCAGTGAAATCGAGATCGTCCATGGGGCACCAATTAAGATGAGATACCGTCGTCACAGTCAATACGAGAGATGATTTGGGTACGTCAACCATCCTTTGCGTCCATGATCAACCTGGTGAGCCTAGTTAGTGGCTCAAAATCCAACCAATCGACATGCAGCACCAACAACCAATCACGTATAAAGTAAAAGTCCTATTAGCACAGATGCGTCAAAGTTGGTGCTACTGCGTCCCACATGAACATAGTAGGTAAATGTTTCCCTGTGGAATCTCCAAAATACATAGCTTAGATAAAGAAAGGGACTAGGGTATGCAAGATCCGCATTTCTCAAACCAATCGAAAGTGAAGTGCTAGTCAAATCGAAATGCAAGGGACAGAATGAAAGATAGTAGATTTGCAGCCAAATCAGGTCTCCAGAATAAACACTAACTTTACAACTGAAGTGCATTAAATGACGCAAGATGGATTAAAGAAGTAATGAATTTAAAAGTTATCAAAGTAAATGTGTCCTTCAATGTGTCCCCAGTGCACCGATAGAAGCTCAAGAGTTATGGCATTGAGTCATTAAATTATCAGTCTAGCGATTCATCTCTACTGCGGGGAAGGACATTTGTGATTACTTTTGCAGCAGACCTGTTGTGGATGCAGTTGGTGAGTGCACCTCCAATGGTGCATCCACGCACACCTCCATTGTGATGATTTGTGAGGCAGGCGAAAGCACAGTTGACATTCCACAGAAAGACGCACCTCCAACGATGGTTGAGTGGTGGTAGGATAGA